TATCCAAGGCCATAGCACTAGAAGGAACAGTCCTGGATTTTGAACCATGGAAGTCTTGCAGTCTACAGAGAAAACTGAATTCTCAGCTGTGTGTGTCTGTATACATGTGCATGTGTGCCTTGTTCATTTATTTTATTTGTTCTCAGAAGCTCTCCATTCAGAGGGAAGAAAGTTTTGTCCATGTCTCATCTCTAGGATATCTAGCATGGCAGCTAGAAAGAGTCAGTTCTCTGTAAACCTTCCATAAATTATGGAAAGAGAAGGCTCATTTGGTCAAATTGATCTGGCCCAGGGATACTGTCTCAAGTCTCCTTAGTAATTGAATGCTCATTTTTGGGTCATAGTAATCCTTTCTCTGACTTCCTTTTGAGGAATAATATCAAAGACCCTCATTGTCTTGGAAGATGCCAAAAAGGTCTAGAGACACAGTGTCAGCCACTCCAAAGCTAGTCAATACAGGTTCACTGGATGGATTCCTAAATAAATGAATGAATAACTCACCCCTCAGCAGACACACACACACACACAGGCAAAAGATGCCAGCTTTTCCAAAAGCTCATTCTGGGGTTGACATTGCAAAATCTTATCCTTAAAAGAAACTTTGGGTTAGTTAAAAACATCTTTTTCTGGTTAGCATGATTTGATCATCACATCTGAGCGTGATTTCATTTTCCGTAAGGAATAGTTAGAACATGCTGAGGAAGCCAGGGGGAGTTATTGCAAAGATATCAGCTCTCCGTGTGGCTGGGACATACCCTTCTAGGTTTGGGAAGAACTTCTTTTCAATGAACATAGCTAATATTCACCCATTCTCTGGTGACTTGCTTTTCTTTTCTCTACCCTGTACCTCCTTTCTTAAAGCTGTTCTGAGAGAAAATCAGCATCATTTGTGGAAAAGAACATTATCTGGGGCCAAGTGTCCTGAGAACTTTTGCTAGTAAAAATCCCAACTGCTGATGTTTTTTGAGACTTCCAAACACTTTGCACATGAAGGAGACAAAGCTATCCTACCATGCCCAGTCATTTCACATAAAGAGAGGTTCTGGTCACCAACTAGCAAAGGCTCTCGCGCTCTTCGTCTGTAACAAGGCCAGTATAAAAAATAGCTCTAGACTGTCCCCAAAACTACAAAGGGCCCCACTGAAGAGGGCTGGTTCCCACCTATTGATCAGTGACATTCTAGAGCTATTTGCACACCCAACTACACAGAAGCCCATTGTTACACTCCTCTATGAAACAAAGTAAAGAAAGTGTTCTTTGATCTTTTGAAGACTTTTAATACTTACAGTTTAGTTGGAGCTCATCGATTTCATCTTCCCATGTTTCAGATGAGGAAACTGAGTCCCATGAAGGGACAAGGCTTGCAGTTATTTCAGAGTCAAGCTGGGACCAGAATCCTACTCATCTGTTGTTGTTGTTGTTACGTGTCGTTGTTAAGTGCCATCAAATCAGTTCCAACTCACAGTGACTGTATGTACAACAGAATGAAATACTGCCCAGTCCTGCACCATCATCGTAATCGTTGTTGTGCTTGAGCCCATTGTTGCAGCCACTGTGTCAATCCATCTCGTTGAGGGTCTTCCTCTTTTTCGCTGACCCTCCGCTTTACTAAGTATGATGTCTTTCTCGAGGGACTTGTCCCTCCGGATAACGTGTCCAAAGTATGAGAGTCAAAGTCTCGCAATCTTCGCTTCTAAGGAGCATTCTGCCTGTACTTCTTCCAAGACAGATTTGTTCGTTCTTTTGGCAGTCCATGATATATTCAGTATTCTTCTCTCACACCATAATTCAAAGGCATCCATTTTTCTTCAGTCTTCCTTATTCTTTGTCTAGCTTTCCCGTGCATATTGTTAGATAATTTCCACATTCTGTTGGATCACCTTCCTTTGGAATGGGCACAAACAAGGATCTCTTCCAATCGGTTGGCCAGGTAGCTGTCTTCCAAATTTCTTGGCATAGACAAGCGGGCACCTCCAGCACGGCATCCATTTGTTGAAACATCTCTATTGGTATTCTGTCAATTCCTTGAGCCTTGTTTTTTGCCAGTGCCCTCAGTCCAGCTAGTCATACTTTTCACTCCTATAGGTACTTCTTCTCTCTCTTCCATACCACTTTCTTCTTTCTTGTCTACTCCCTCTTTTTTTTTTAATATTGTTTCATTCACATATATCCATCATTTTACCACCTTCATCCTCCCCTTCTCTCTCTGTTTCTTCCATAAATTGAGTAAAACAAGAATGAATTCCACTGGCAACCACTTCCTCTTGAAAAATTGTGGAACAAAACTCCTAGCCAAAAGAGTTCCAGATATCTGGCCCTTTATTTTGCTGATGAACAAAATGTGGAAAATAGCCTCACTTCCCACAGTCAAATAGCTCTGATCTCTTCTCCAGAGCCTTAATACCAATGGCCATTTTAATGGCAACATTAAAAAAAAAAATTAAATGAAAGTGAGCCCAAGGAGCTGAGAGAGAAACTAATACATAAGTAACTACGTTCCAGAACAGAAAGAAAACATGTGTAATAACAATAATAGCAGCTGTCACATAGATTATCTCCAGATATTAGACACTAGACTAGGTGCTTTGCATAATGTAAACTAATTCCCTCTACTGATTTCTAAGTGTAATTTCTGTTTACTCCATCTTACAGAATGGGGAAAATGGGGCACAGAGATAATAAGAATCTTGTGCAAGACTACTCAGCTTAGATATTTCTGGCCCCAAAATCCTATTCTTTTTCCAATATTGTAAACTGCCTCACTGCCTCCGAAGTAAAGACAAGTACAAATGTTTCAAAAGAATGAGTTGCTATCTCTATAGTCTACTCGGTATCCAAGCAGACACAAACAGGACACTAACAATTATGGAGTCCCTGATTGCACCTGGTGGCACAGTGGTTAAGAGCTTGGCTGCTAACCAAAAGGTCAGCAGTTCAAATCCACCAGCCACTCCTTGGAAACCCTATGGTGCAGTTCTAATCTGTCCTATAGGGTTGCTATGAGTCGGAATTGACTTGATGGCAATGGGTTTTTGGTTTGGCTGGGTACCAAGTATATCCAATGGTAACATCATTGGAGGGACCGAAAGTTCTTTAGCTATACCCCCCCAACACACATACACACACACACACATACATTTTCTACCAATATGTCTGCATCATGTGATATGGTAATGACATTATCTCCTCCCCTCTATCAGCCCCTTACCTGAATTTATAGCCCTCAGACCCCTCTTATACTGAAATTCTGGAGCTATTCTAAATTTGTGTGTTGGACCTATAAATACTGAATGTATGTTGATTGGATTTACGAAACTCTCATAAAAAATTATGGAAACTACTGAGGGTTTCTAAAAATGTTAACTTGGTATAATCCTGAGAATTTTGCTTATTTTCATTTTATAGAGGTGGAAAAAAGAAGTAATTTGCCTAATAACCTACAGCTGATAAATGGCAAGCTGAAGTGTGATCCCAAATTCATCTAACTCGAATATCCATGCTTTTTTTCCCCCTTTTTGTTTGGTTTCCTACTTAAAAAAGTAACATATACTAACTTATAGAAAATTTTGGAAATATCACAAAAAATAAAGAAAAATAAAACACTATAATTCGAAAAGGACTAAAGTTAATATTTTGGTGTAGTTCCTTCTAATCATAGGTAATTTAGTAAATACAATTTTGTAGACTAATTTTTACCTACTATTTTGCAAGCATGAGTCTACGCCATTAAAAGTTCTATGAAAACATATTTTAATATCTATATAATATTCAATGTGCATAATTAATGCAGCCTTCTACTGTATTTTTGGACAGTTAGGTTGTTTCTGATTTTTAATTATTAAAGCAATACTGGCCTAAATCCCTTTGTTCACAAATTTTGGACTGAATCATTGAATATTTAGTTAGGTTAGATTCTCAAATATGAGAATGCACTGTTTTCTGTTATTTCTGGATGCCTCTTTGTGAAAAATGAAGACATTTCCAGCCCCATCCCACCCCAGAATCTCCTCCTCTGTCTTGTTTCTAAACCACTGAGTCAAATTTTTATTCTATATGTCTAGACCCTAGGAGTAGAGGGGAAAGAGCTTAGAATTTGGAATCCAAAAATCTGAATTCATGCACCAGCTTACTTCTCACTCACAAGGTTATGCTGGCAAAGTTACCTGAGGTCTTCAAGCCTGTTTTCTCACCTGGAAAAATGAGACACTAACAGCACCTTACCTCGTTCAAAAGACTGACACAAGGACTAAATGAGATAAAGCACGTGCTATTATCTTTAAGCATGCGGGCAGATTTAGATGTCTTTCAGAAGGAACTAAGAAGAGAGAAGACTGGTTTCCTTTAATTTGCTTTTTCTGGTCAAATGAAATCCAAACCTTTCTTTAAAATAAATAAATAAATAAAGGCCCTAGGGTGAAACAGCAGCTGTCAAAAAGAACATTTCCCAAGTCTACCAAGCATTCATGTCATCCAGCAGATTTTGAAAGCTTTTGCTCACATGTCAAATTAACAAATCTAAATGCCTACATTCACAGGCACATCAGAAAGCCAGTAAACCCAACCCAGCAAGATGCAGAGCAGTAGAATCTTCCAGACCAGGCTTAGCCCCTCCCCTCAGGAGGCAGGCAGCAACATCTGGCCAAACCTGATTAGTCCCAGCACTTGACTAAGGGACATTTAATGATGAACGAGGATGCTGCTAAGAGACCAGCCAGCAAGGAGAGGAGAGGTGAAGAGAAAGTGGTGGTTTAACCTCTGAGGATGAAAGACCATTCAGAAGGGCAGAAAAGACTCAGGAGAGACAGAGAAGTGAGAGGCTGGGAAGGTGCTTACTATCAGGTTTGTGAAGGGACAACTAGGATGACAAGGAGAAATGTTTGATGTATGTATCCTATTGTAATGAAATAAAAGGGGACATAACAGGCCATTTTGTGGTCCAGTTAGAAGAAAGGACTAGAGATTTCAGGAGTCAGTCCAGAAATCCCAGGGGTTCAGTGAGGATGGAGTTTGAAGAAAAGCATGACAGCAATGGGACTCTTGTAGGAAAGAGTCAACCACACCTAGGTGAGAAGCATCAGTCAAATGGGAAACCAGTAGCAAACGGGAAAGCTGAAGTCTATGTAAAGCAAGAGGCAAAGGGGAAGCACTCGGTGCCTGGGAAAAGGCTCAACACGTACAGCTGGCAGGAGATCCAGAAACACAACCAGGAGACCGTCCAGTGGCTGGTGATCGATCGCAAGGTCTACAACGTCACTAGCTGGGCCTAGGCACCCAGGTGGGCCCAAGGTCATCAACCACTATGGTGGGGAAGATGCCACGGTAAGGATCTCGAAATCTCTGAGAGTTCTTCCAGCTGCGGGGTGGCTGAGGGCTTGGCTGTCTTCCCAAAAGTGTTCAGGTACATGTTTAGGCTCCACAATTGCTCATCTCCTCCCAAACCAATTTTTCAGGTTTCCTATCCAGCAAGAATTTGGAAGCAAATTAGTCCTCAAAGTCTAATTATTATCACCAGGTTTGAGAGGAGCTCAGATGTTGATAGTGGATCCTATATATATGTTGTTGTTGTTGTTTTTTTCTGGTTTTTGTTTTGTTCTAGTTTTTTCTTTGTTTTGTTTTTTTGTTTGTTTGTTTGTTTTTGTTTAAGTATGGTCTCTAATCGGGGGAAGGAATGTCTGCACTAAAGTAGAAATTTCTAAGACTCTTATATTGGAGAGTCTAAAAGAAAGTGATTTATCCAGTGGGTATCAAAATGTTGTTAATACTAACGATGAAAATGTTCAATTTATAGAAGTTTTAGAGTTTGCAAAGCTTTTTGCAACCTATAACTCATTCAGTCTTCATACTGTGACACTGTGACACAGGTAATAATAAACAAAACAAAACAAAAAAACAATTGCTGTCGACTCTGACTCATGGTGACCCCATGTGTGTCAGAGAAGAACTGTGCCTCCACAGAGTTTTCAATGGCTAATGTTTCAGAGGTAGATCACTGGGACTTTCTTCTGAGTTGCCTCTGGGTGGCCTCAAACGTCCAATCTTTTTGTTAGCAGCCAAGTGTGTTAACCGTTGGCACCTACAACCCCTTTTTCAGAGGAAGACACTGAAATCAGAAGGGTTAAGTGACTGCCAAGGACATTCAGCAGCAGATCTGGAATTCAGAATTCCAGATCTTTCCTAACTTCCAGTATTTCTACTTTTCTTCACTGTTTCTCCTTCACTACCCGCTCCCCACAAAACAGCTAAGGGGGAATCTATAACATTTACTGGGTCGCTAGAATACCTTAGACACATTCAAACACATTACCTCATTTGAAACTCACCACAAGGAAGGCAGATATTACAGCCATATTACAGATGAGAAAACTGATATTCAAAGAAATGAATAATGTGTCATACAGCCAACAAATCATAATGCCAAATTTTGGATTCAGGTTGGCTTGACCATAAACCAAAGCCAAAAAAACAAACCTATTGCCATGGAGTCGATTCAAACTCATAGCGAACCTATAGGACAGAGTAGAACTGCTCCATAGGGTTTCCAAGGCTGGTGGCAAAGTGGTTAAATCAGTCAGCTGCTAAGTGAAAGTTCTAACCCATCAACTGCTCCTTGGGAGAAATATGTGGCAATTATGGCCTTGGAAACCCTATAGGGTAGCTATGAGTCCAAATAGACTCTACAGCAGGGGTTTTTTAATCTTTACAGAAGCAGACTGCCACATCTTTCTCCCAAGGAGTAACTGGTAGATTTGAACCACTGATCTTCTGTTAGCAGCCGAGCCCTTAACCACTCTGCCACCAAGGCTCCTGGCTTGACCATAAAAACCAAAAAAAAATCACTGTCCAATCAATTATGACTCATAGCAACCGTATAGGACAGAGCAGAACTGCCCCATAGGGTTTCCAAGGAGCTGCTGGTAGATTTTTTGACCTCTTGGTTGGCAGCTGTAGCCCTTTAACCACTGTGCCACCAGGGCTCCGGCTTGACTATAATGCCCTGTATATCTGAATCCTTAAAAAATATTAACATTTCCATTTAACATTAGATAGCGAGATCTCCCAAACACTTAAGTGCACTTAGGAATCCCTTTTAAAATATTCTACAAGGAAGTTCTTTATATCTCAGTTGGGAATTTTAATCTCTCCATTGTACAGATAAATGAATGGATGGTTGTTGTTGTTAGCTGCTGTCAAGTAGGTTCCGATTCACAGTGACACTATGTACAACAGAACAAAACACTACCCGGTCCTGTGCCATCCTCACAATAGTTACTACATTTGAGCCCATTGTTGCAGCCACTGTGTCAGTCCATCTCGCTGAGGGTCTTCCTCTTTTTCCCTGATCTTCTTCTTTTCCAGGCATGATGTCCTTCTCCAGGGACTAGTCCCTCCTGATAACATGTTCAAAGTATATGAGACAAAGTCTCGCCATCCTTGCTTCCAAGGAGCATTCTGGCTGTACTTCTTCCGAGACAAAGACAGACTTGTTGGTTCTTCTGGCAGTCCATGGTATATTCAATATTCTTTGCCAACACCACAGTTCAAAGACATCAATTCTTTGGTCTTTCTTATTCATTGTCCAGCTTTCACATGCATATGAGGCGATTGAAAACACCATGGCTTGGGTCAGGGGCACCTTAGTCCTCAGAGTGACATCTTTGCTTTTCAACACTTTAAGGAGGTCTTTTGCAGCAGATTTGCCTAATGCAATGCGTTGTTCGATTTTTTGACTGTTGCTTCCACGGGCATTGATTGTGGATCCAAGTAAAATGAAATCCTTGACAACATCAGTATTTTCTCCCATTATCATCAGCTGCTTATTGGTCCAGTTGTGAGGATTTTGGTCTTCTTTATATTGAGGTGTAATCCATGGCTGGTTAGAGGGATGAAATAACTATCCAAAGTTAGAAAATTAGTACATGACAAAACTGAAATTTAAACCACGACTTTTTTTTTTTTACTTTGTTGCTCCCATTGTTTTCATAGTTTAACATACAATTTCTCAAACTGCTTTCAAAGTCTCAAATTGAAAAGATCATTTCACTAAGTACCAGTCTGTAAACGGTACAATACTAATAACAATCGGATTCACAAGCACCCTGGCAAGTTTATAAAGTAGACAAGATTTTGTCTTGTTATGCCACCTAAATCTTTTTTCCCCAATTTTTCATCCCCTTTCCCTGACGAGATTCTTCTTCTTCTACCATCTGTCTGCCTACTGGATTCTACTGTCAGATGAATGCCTTTCTGAACCCAACCTGCTACATCCCTACCACTTCTGAAAAACCTGGTGTTATTTTGCTAAAGTTCAGCACTCCCTTGGGCAAATGTGCCTGAGCTTATAGCAAAAGAAAGGAGTATTGAGTAGGTCAAAAAGATACACACTGCATATAAATCCAGAGAGCTAAAGGTGGAAGAAGCAGAGTGGAGAACATTTGTGCAAGAATAAAAAGAGAAAGAGTAAAAAAAATAGAATGAAAAATACTGCAGGTCTCTATTGAGCCCACCCCTCATCCTAAATACAGAGAAAATATGGACTATGTTTTTATAAAACAAGTCACAAAATTAGCTCAGAGGATGTTTTGGCAAAGGCAAGGGCCTTCAACCATCTGGAAAATACCTGATAGTCTCATTCGGCATGAGGCAACCCAGCTGACAAATCTGTGATTTGTTGATGATTTTTATCTCCCACAAAATATTTCAAAATTCATGATTCTGCATTCAACTGTAGCCAGCAAGGAGAAATTGATTAATAAAATAGAAACGATCAGAACCTTGGGGGAAACTAACCTTGTCACCCTAGGATTCATGTGTGTCAAGGAAGAAAACCCTAAGCATGTTCAGCAATGTACCTTAGATTTTGGGAAAGCAAATCCCACGATGTTGAGAGTAAAGATTCTCCAAGGGAAGATGGCTCAAGAAGAATGAGAGGGTGCAGTAGAATTCTGACAATGAGTACTCCATGGCTACTCCGAGAACTGGAAGCATGAGCTTCGGAATCAGTTAAGTAAACCTGAGAAAGTTACTGAAACGCTCTGAGCCTCAGCTTCTTCGTCTGGAGATGGGAATGGCACAACCCACCTCACTGATGAAAACTCAATGGAACCAATTCTCTTAAAGTGCTTAGCACCATGCCACATACATGGTGACAGTACATTAAATTATAGCTATTATTATTCATACCACTGGCTTTCAGAGACGTGATTATCACTTTCCATTCACCACCAGCTTAAAAATTCTGGTTATATTTGCTGGCATTTGATTGGGAACAGAGAGGTACATGTGCTCTAGTGAAAAAGGATAGGTCATTAAGTCGGACACCCTGAGGTCAGATGCTTGCTCTACAGTTTAAGAGCTTGTGCCCGGAGAGACAAGGGAGCTAGGCTTGGACCCATGACTGCACCTGCCCAGTGGGAGCACCTTTTTCTTATTTACACAAAAGCCCTTCTTCAGGCCTCAATTCTCTTTCCAGAACATGGATATAGATATTATGCAGTCTGTCCCATAGGGTTATTCGTTCATTCATTCATGTACTCAGTCATTCTAAAACCTTTATCGGGGGTCCAGCCTAATGGTTAAGAGCACACGTCTGGGGATGAGACAGTTCTGGTTTGAGTCTGGGCTCCACCATTTACTAGGAATGCCTTGAGGAAGTTGATTAAGCAATCAGCACCTCAGCTCCCTTATCTACAAAACGGATAATAACACCTTCATCACAGGGTTGTTGTGAAACTCAGCAAAGATATACATAAAGTGCTCCTTATGGTGCTTAAAGCACAGATTAAATAATCAACGGCAGCTCTTGCATTTTAATTACCCAGTTCTTCTGAAAGGGGTTCTAATTTTCTCCAAAGAACTTAACTAAGAAAAATAAATCCATAAGACAAAATCGGTGATGCATAAGCTCCTACTACTCCACACTTTACTGTATGAGGTATGTTATTATTTTCAAACTATATGAATTTAAAACTATGGCACAGTGCTAACAATTAGAGTCTAGGCCCAGATCTTCTCACCTGAAGGACAACCTATAAATGCAATATTAAAAATTTTATTATATAGATTCAATGCATCTACATGATAAGCTACTTTGAAATCATTAAAATGAAGATTACAGAACATTTTGATGACAGAAAAATGCATATGAATAAATAGTTGGCTACTAGTATTGTATAAAGCAACTGCATGTTCCAAGCCCCACAAAAGAAGTAAATGCAATCTTGTGATGTGTACAGAGGAGAGGCAGCATTCCCAGAACAAAGAAAGCGGTAAGTTTATTATCCTGTGTGCTGGTCAGCCCACTCGTTATCTATGGACGCCAC